TTTTCACTTGTAAATAAAGAAAAAATTATGACTAGTATTCAGAAACTTAAACCAAAGAAAGCTACTGGTAATGATTGCATACCAGCTTATATATACAAGGGTTGTGCGGATATTATGTCTGTGCCCCTGGAAATTATTTTTAACATGGCTATTAAATCTAATCAGTTTCCTGACCAATTTAAGTGTGCTAGTATCACTCCAAATTATAAAGGGAAGGGGGATAAAAGTTCTGTTGAAAATTATAGACCCATAAGTGTATTAAATTCTATTGCTAAAATATTTGAAAACATACTCTACAATGATATACTTGAAACATTTGAAAATTATTTTGCTAAGGAGCAGCATGGCTTTTTGCCTGATAGGTCCACAGTAACGAACCTCACTGTTTTAACAGATACAGCTGCTCAAGCAATTCTTAATAAAAACCAATTGGATGTGATAATGACGGACTGCGCGAAGGCGTTTGATAAGGTGGATCATGGACTTCTGGTCAGCAAATTGAATGCATTTGGTTTTTCTGAGAGTGCCTGTAAACTTATGTTCTCTTACCTATTATATAGAAACCAACAAGTGAAAGTTGGAAAAAATCTCTCAAGGAGTTTTATGGCTTCATCAGGCGTTCCTCAGGGAAGTAACCTGGGACCTCTTTTATTTGCCATTTTCATAAACGATTTGCCAGATTGTATTGATTTCTCTGATAGTTTGTTGTTTGCAGATGACTTCAAAATGTTTAAAATAATTAAGAGTACTGAAGACTGTGTGGCTTTACAAGAACACCTAAATTGTGTCTCAAAGTGGTTTATAGCAAAAACAAGATGTTCCTAAATGTGAGTAAATGTCACGTTATAACTTTTACCAGAAGGATTAATCATATAAATTTTAATTATAACATAAATAATTTAAGTCTGGACAGAAAGTTTGAATGCAAACACCTTGGAGTACATCTGCAATCAACGCTTAGGTTTAACACTCATTATCAGATTATTGTGAGTAAGGCATTCAGGGTTCTGGGCTTTATTATTAGAAACTCTAAGTGTTTCCAATTAAAAACTGTCATTAGACTATACAATGCGCTGGTCAGACCTCATTTAGAGTATGCTTGTGTAATATGGGCACCACAGGCAGAAGTTAACTGTGATATGATTGAAAAAGTCCAAAAAAGATTTTTAAGATATTTATTTATTAGGACACATAGTGTTTATCCTTATATGATCTCTTATAGTTCAATGCTAAGTGAATTTAATATTAAAAAATTGAGTACCAGGAGAAGTATGCAGTGTGTTATCTTTGTATGTCATATTTTAAATAGTGTCAAGTACAGGCACAGTTATTTAATTAATAGAATTGCATTCCATGTTCCTAAAATTGTGCTTAGAAATATTGAACAGAAGATATTTCAGGATAATCTATTAAGTTGTTCACCTCTAAACAATATGCTTCGCGAATGTAACAGATTGGTGAGGGAATTTGATATTGATTTATTTAATACAAATACCTTTGCTTTGCCATAAGATCTTTTTTTTAATTCCAAAGTTTTACTAGTTTTTTTTTTTTTAAATCTCTGTGATTATTATTTTATATTTTTTATATTTTATATTTTATGTGTAACTTAGTATAAGTCTAACTTTTTGTGTTTCTTTTTAATTTAGCCATAGTGGATGTTAGGGTATCAGTAAGCACTCTTGTATTGTAAGTACCTGTTAAAGGTGTATGTGGGAGTATAAATAAATAAATAAATAAATAAATAATTAAATTATTTATTAGGTGGACAAAATAAGGGACTGGCTTATTTTTTGCCTCGTTTATTAACTTTTTTGCTGTCCCTTGCCTTTCTGACTTATATTTTTACAATAGTCGTTAAGAATGATTTTTTTACAATCAACTGAAACTATCGATCACAGAACTAATAATATAATGACGCTTGACAGCCTTCACCTCTCTCTCCTCGACAGTGCATCCATTGTGTTTTCAAAATGACACCAAGACCGAAAATTTAAATTAAGTGTTAAATATTTTGGGCAATACTGAACAACTATGTATAACCAAGTTATTAGAAATAAGTAATGAAGTTGATAATGGTTTCAGAAAACCGAAACATGCTAAAAAAAATCTAATTGCACATACGTATTCTGTACAAAGAGTTGCTTTGAAAGTGTTTTTACAGATTTGAGAAATTTTCAAAAGTAAAAGATTTACAGCCTATTTAAAAAAAAAAACAATTTTTCAGTTTTTTCTAGCTAGAATAGCTAGACTCAATCTGCAAACGCTATTAAACGTCTAATATAATTGTCTAAAACCTTTCCCATTTAAGCTCCCTCATATCTGTTATAGTGTTCTATATCCTAATACATTCGCCACCAATTTGGGACACACTATATATGTGTTTATGTATGAGAACAACCAATTCAAGGATAAAAAGACAAGGCAAAGTTAAGATATGATATGTCTCAAATAAGGGTTCGCAGTGTTCCACTGAAGAAGCACCAGCGACAGAGCACACAGACTGTACTGATTGAAACAGGTAATGGCTACGCTACAACAGCCTGAAAAAGGTATAGTCTATAGGAAAGACGAGTTAGTATTAATGGAAAATATACTGATTTTTGCTATGATTGCGTCCAAATTTGTGGCGATAGCTCGGACACAACAGCACCCAGAAACAAGTTTCTTGTTAAATGCAGTGATATGCAACTGGAATTTGAGATCAACGTCAAGGTGAAGTCCAAGAAATGTGGTATTTAGGGAGGATTTGATGAAGATGTGATCACAATCAATATTATCAACATTGCAACGGAACCCAAGCAGCTGTTTCATTAAAGTTAAAAAGCAGTTTATTTGCACACCAATACTTTATGGCCCTGATGTCATCAGAAATCACCTGTATCAGCTCATCCGGACTTCCTCTATGCCGCACAACTGTTGAATTATCCGTGAACGCAGCGAAGACTCTTGATATATCAAGATAGAGATCCTTGATGTATATCAAGCTAATTTTTATCGATATCCGATTTCAAATTAACTCAATTAAGCTAATTTTCATCGAAACTCAACTTTAAAGAGGAATAATATTGGTTGGAATAATAATAATATAAAGCTATTATTTGCTATTATTTAGTTTAAATATGGTGTTTCTGAGACAATAGTATTCAACTGTAGAAATTGTGTCTTTTTCTCACAAAAATAAAGTTGAAGGCCTGAGAACCCTCCTAAATAAATCAGGACGGAGCTCATGTAGGACCACCCAATTGCTTTTTTGCTCTTCTTTAAAACTGCTTAATTTACAAAAACTAAAGAATTGTATTTTTTGAGTAAATATGTATTATCAAATGTGTATAACTTCAAGACAGAAAATCGTCAAGAACACACATTGAAGAGAAACAAAATGTAATTTTACGAGCAAAATGGTGTTGTGCTGGACATACTCGTCTCCAAGAATGACGGAAGGAGGCATTTGCCCTTCATGGATCTAAAAAGTTGGATGGCAACTTGCTGAGTAAAATGCTTATACGAAGTCCATCCGAATAGCATAAAAACTGTGTAGGCGGCATCTTCTTATGAAATCAAGCATATTATATAATCAGTCGTATGAATTAAGTGTAGCAAATGCTTTTAATCGACCTTCATCTCTTTTTGCTGAATATGTTTATCTCAAAAAACTCAAGCTTAGATATTTGCTTCTGTTTCATTCATATGAGCCATTGTGTGCAACAGTCTAGGAATTCCCAAGAACGAAGAATTCTGATTCCTAGGCTGTTACACGCATATGCCTAATTTCATAAGAAGATGCCGCCTATGCTATTCGGATTGACTGTAAACCGATAAACTATACCATGGTCATTTAGGTATAATATATCCCATGAACATTTCGCCTTGCTAATAAACGATTGTAAAGTAATTACTGTAGGTCCAAAGGTAATGCCTAATAATAATAATAATAATAATATCCGATTTCCTCCCAAGCGTTTTATTGATGCTTATATATTTTTAATTATAATTTAAAATATTAAATAATTAAAAATTGTATTGACATGGAATTATACAAGGCCTGGTTTCCAGAGGTCGTCTGGGTTATCTTTCAATATTATACTATGGAATGGTGTGATCTGTATTGCGTAGTGGCAGTCATTCAACTTGTAGAAAATTACTTTTTATATGTGTTAAAATGAACTATGAATGAATATATAATATTACAAAACACTCAGAACAGTGGGAATAAAATTAATAGGAAAATCTAAACGACAACATGCAATTCGAAAAGTTTCTGTTGATACATCTCGGAAACTACGAAAATTGCAACATGAATGAACTTAATATAGGTGGTAAAGGGAACTCAAAAGTGTAATATTTTGGCAGGGGAGCAAGTAACCCTCCAAGGTCATCTTACGCCGAGTCTTACGCCTACTTTAAAATTTCAAATGACATGACCATATGTCTTAAATTGAAGTTCTCATTGAATTTTATTTATTTGCCCATTAAAAATTTAATTCCTTGTTTTCCAATCATTTAACAAAAAAGTAATTGCTCGATTCAAACCAAACAATTTTTAGTTTATTCCTTATCACTAATTTATTGGGTAATTAGTATCTACAATAGGTATATTGTTTTGAATTTTTTAATGTTTCTAGAAGATAAGTTATTTGAATCACCCAAGGAGATTGATTCCCCTGTCTTTCTATAAATCCATGAAGACAACCGCTGATCTAACTGATCCCATAGCTCGTTGGGTCCTCTAAAAATACTTTGATGTCTTCAGGCATTTAGTTGTTTTATTTTACTTTCACTTGAACATTGTTAGGTTTGAGTTTATAGAAAACTCTCTCTTCAATGTATATTTTTAGAAGTATTAGGCCATGTATCAGGCCTTAGATAATCAGTTGAGGAATTGTAATAACGAATCTGTCAAACACATTCAAAAACTAAAGACAGAAAATCATGAAATTTTGTTATTTGAAACAATCTCTACAGATACCGACCATATACTAATACACTTTTTGTTCTAGATGGTATAGATGGTAAACAAGCCCGCAGGACGGGCACAAGTGGCCCTCTAGGGGAACTCTTCGACCACGGGTTGGATTCGTACACAGCCGCCCTAATCCCAGCGACAATGTACTCGATATTCGGACGAGGGGCACGTTACAGTTTACGCCCCATCCGTATGTTTTTTACCATGTGGAACGTTCTATTCAATTTCTATTTGTCTCACTTTGAAAAATACAACACCGGCGTCATGTTTCTGCCGTGGGGCTACGATTTTACTATGTGCGGTATGATTGTAGTGTTTTTTATTACCGGAGTAAGAATCTGATTTGTTTTGTTGAGTTTTTATATTTATGTCAAATGTTAATTGTAGGTTGCTGGCTCAAATTTATGGCAATACAGTCTACCAGGAGGAATAACCAATGGTTTAATAGTAGAAGTAGTACTTTATATTTCTTCAACGTCCACTAACTGGCCCATGGTGTTTTCTAATATTTACAAGTCGTACAGAGATAAAACGGGCCATATGAGGACTTTTCCGGAAGCTGTGAGACCGCTCATACCTCTGGTTGGAGTGTTTTCTATCACTCTATTGTGGGTGATGACGAGTCCGTGGGATATCTTGGACCGAGATCCTAGGGCTGTGTTTTTGTTAATGGGAACAATATTTTCAAACATATCGGTAAGAATTATCTAGAAAACGTTTTTATTTTTTGAGAGTTTGTAAATTACTTGTTCCTAATGTCAAATTAACCCAGTTTCAATTTTAGTGTCGTCTAATCGTTGCCCAAATGAGCAGCACCAGATGCGACTGGTTCAATTGGATGCTTGTTCCCACATTATTAGCCATATTGGTATCTGTAGTGAGTCGCCTTGCCAGCTTAGAATTATCGTTACTGTACCTGTTGTGTCTGGGTACCTCTATTGCTCATATCCATTATGGAACTTGTGTGGTAAGTTGGTAGATTTTTTACTTGAATAAAATTTAGTGTGTGGGGGTTTATTATTGGATTAAAGTCCGAAATTTCATTATCTTTCTTCATGTTCATACATTATAATTATTTCAACAAATTCATTATTCATATGGAATGGAATTAAAAACTACAGGTGTAGACACTGTGGTGGAATGATAGAAAAACCAGTGTTGTTAAATTAAACAGGGTTTAGTGAACTGTGGTTTGGCATTGGCAATAGTAAATCGTAATCACCACATCCGTTGCGGTTCACCATTTTGGTGAATTTAGCCACACACAGTTAGTGATCAAAAATTTATACAACTACATTCAAGAAAGTATTACTATCGCACCCTCTCTTGATACTTCTCTTGAGTCCTGCAATCTTTTAAAACGTTTTTATACTGTATTACCATCATAAAAACAAGTTTCTAAACTTTATAGATATAATTTATACAATCACTAAAGCTAGAGTCTATCCCCATAAAATTCCTCCAGAGAATAATACCTACGCTTTTAAAAGCAGAAGCTGCTTCACCTTTCTAGCAAAGAGGACTCTATTGTCTAGACATTTGATCTCTAGAGGCAGGTGGTTATACATATTTTTCCCCTCATATATTATTTAATTTATTTATTGACGAGCAAAGCCCATTTTTACAATAGATTATTGATAACCTAATAAACGAATGCATACAATTATATACAGTGTCCGCGGAAAAGTCTGCACCATATGGGAAATTTTTTTATGCTCATCCTTACTTCAAATCGGTTTTTGGCATTAGGTTCTGCATGACTGAAAACCAAAAAAACCCTAAAATTTTTAACTCGAGACTTGCCTCACACCTGTCAAATGCCATTTGAAAATTTCAAACAAGGAGAAGTGGCATTTTTATAAAAAATATGAAAAAATTTTATAAGAAAATATTGTTCCAAATGATATTTAGAGTCTAATTTGATATTTTTGCTTTGAAAAAAATATATTTCAAAGCATACAATTTTTAAAATAGTCCAGAGGCGTATTAAGATTTTAATAGAAATATTTCTTTTTGATGTTTAAACTCTTAATTAGATTATTAGGATTTGAAAAACCATTAGTCAGATACAAACTTATTATTTTAGAGGAATGGTCGCGAAAGAAATCCTAAAAATATTTTTCTGTAGATATTCGAAAAAAAATAAAAAAAATAAATATATTTTTTTCAAAGCAAAAATATCAAATTAGACTCTAAATGTTATTTGGAACAATATTTTCTCATAATTTTTTTTCATATTTTTCATAAAAATGCCACTTTTCCTTGTTTGAAATATTCAAATGGCATTTGACAGGTGTGAGGCAAGTCTCGAGTCAAAAATGTTAGGTGTTTTTTTGGTTTTCAGTCATGCAGAACCTAATGCCAAAAACCGATTTGAAGTAAGGATGAGCATAAAAAAAATTCCCATATGGTGCAGACTTTTCCGCGGGCACTGTATACCTACTATTTAAAAAAATATGAAATATATCACATGTACAGAGTGGTCATTTTATCTTGATAACATTTCAAACTGTCATAATTTCTTTATTTTTGAAGTTATTTAAATAAATAGAAAAACATACTGTAGGGTTGTTTTCCAAGTTTTAGATAGGATGGACAAAAAACAAAAGACTAATATATTTAGACAGTTCTGCACACAAATAACATTTTTTTAAATGGAACACCTGGTAAATTTTTAGTTTGCTTGATAATTATGTTTCTACCTACCTACCTTTGCAGGTAACTGTGTAAATAATCAATATTTTCAGTCAATAAATAAAACATTTCTGCATGTAAATATAAAGTGAATTGTTCAATTGTATTGTATTGCATATATTGCAATCAGAATGAAACATATTATCAAACAAACTAAAAATTTACTTGGTGTTCCATTTAAAAAAATGCTCTTTGTGCGGATAACTGTCAAAATATATTAGTCCTTTGTTTTTTGACAACCCTATCTAAAGCTTGCAAAGCAACCTTACAGTATGTTTTTTTATTTATCTAAATAACTTTAAAAATAAAGAAATTATGACAGTTTAAAATGTTATCAAGATAAAATGACCACACTGTACAATACAATAAAAATTCAACAATATTAACTATTACAATATACAATCATCAATAAATGATAAAGCACAATCTACAAGCTACAATTCGTTTATATTCAGATCACAGTTGCCTTCAAGTCCCTATAAAAACTGGAGGAGGAAAAAAAAAGTCCTACTCATTTGAGTAAAAATTAGCCAGTCTGATAGACCTAGGCAAAAATGAATTACAGCCATAATTTGTACGGTTAAAGGGTTGATGGAATGTAACATTGGAACATATTTATTCTTGATAATAGATCTGGACAGTGATAAACATGGTGCAAAACATTTAGCCGGAGAGCCAGCGCCGAAAAAATTCTCTGAATTTACTAAAGCCAGTTTTTGGTCAGTTGATTACAGTATTTATGTACATAAACATACCTCGGTCAGTCAAGCGAAACTTGGGACAAGGACCTAGGGTGTCTGGTTAAAGTTGTCGAGATAGCTAGGTAATGCAACGAATTTACTAAGGCTGACAATCGCTATACATATTCAGGCCTATGATGTATCCTGTCCTGTTATTTTAACGGCTGTGTTAAAGCTCAACATATATTTGTGTCTCAATTTTGACGTATAGAATAAACAGTGACAGATAACTTAACGTTGCTGTTAAAATAACAGAAAATGATACATCATAGGCCTGATTATATATAACACATAAATAACAGTGATGTTTGTCAGTCAGTTGAATAGCGGAACTGGGCCGGTCATTCAGCCCCATTGAGGTAGTTCAGCCCAAATTTATATGTAAAAAAAATAATAGGTCTATTTTTTTTAGAGTGACAGCTTGACAGTGACTATTCAAAATTGTAGGTTGAAGTATAAATTAATAGGTTTGTTCAGTAATATTAATATTTTTTGCAGATTTTTACATTTATTGGAGCTGACTGACCAGCACGGTCCCGCTATTCAACTGACTGACTAACACTACTGTTATTTATATGTTATATATAATATGTATAACGATTTTCAGCTTTAGTAAATTCATTGCATTACCCAAGTTATCTCGACACGTTTAACAAGACACCCTGGGTCCTTGTCCCAAGTTTCGCTTGACTGACCGCGGTATGTTTATGTACGTAAATACTGTAATCAACTGTCCAAAAACTAGCTTTAGTAAATTCAGAGAATTTTTTCGGCGCTGGCTTTAGACTATTAAACAAAAGCTTCAAGTCATGCTGTTCACGGCGAGCCTTCAGCGAGGATAGTCCCAAGGCCGTCTGAAGCTCAGGATATGTCATTGCATAACCATTGGCAACCCTTGATGCTACATATCTTAGAAATCTGTGTTGATTATTTCATTCATTATAAAATAGACCCATCAGACAACGTAATTTTTTGAATGAATTTTGTTTAAATAAGTGATTATTTCACAAGACCTTGTTTATCAGCGATTAAATTTTTGTTTACCTTTTTTGACAGAATTTTGATAGAAATATTCTGACATTTTATAATAAATAGAACTCTTTGGATAGGATTGACGCCAACAATTCAATCCTAATTATTCAGGAAATAATCTAGCCGTATACCACTCGACCTATAAATTTAAATGGATTAAACTATCCAAATATTTTTTGCATAATTTTGCTTTTTGGCAAATAGTTTCATGCACAATAACTTTTAAATAAAAGCCCTCGACCGCCAAGCGGTCGAGGGCTTTTATTAAGTTATTGTCCATTCAACTATTTTCCAAGCAAAATCATGCTCAAAATACAGGGTGTCCCACGGTGGATGGCGTATTAGACGTTTATGGAGAACTAAAAAGCGGATCATATTGAAAATTTGGCAACCGGGATAAACGACCATAATGTACACTTTAAAAATATTTTTGTTTATGCGGTGTTGCCGCTTCTACTCTTAATCAGTGGCAACATCGCTATTTTAAATGGAACACCCTGTATGTGATTGCATATTTGGATTCTACGTAAAATTCTGAACAGATTTCATGTGATATACCCTATACCTAAGTTCAACTATTTCGGAAATATTGACAGTTGAAAATTGAGTTTTTGCAACTTTGACAGGTTGTAAAACCTAAACGGTTAATTTTAGAGGAACACCGATTTAACATTCCTATCTTAGATTTTCATAAACTATCATTTGACACCAACTCTGAATTTAACCGGAGATTAAATTTAATTGGAATTTTTAATCATGGATTAAATACAAAGTTGGTGTCAAATTATAGTTTATAAAAATCTAAGATAGGAATGTAAAATCGGTTTTCCTCTAAAATTAACCTTTTAGGTTTTACAGCCTGTCAAAGTTGCAAAAAGTCAATTTTGAACTGTCATTCTTTCCAAAACAGTTGAACTTAGGTATAGGGTATATAACATGAAATCTGCTCAGAATTTTACATAGAATCGAAATATGCAATCACATACAGGGTGTTCTATTTAAAATAGCGATGTTGCCACTAGTTTAGAGTAGAAGCGGCAACACCGCATAAACAAAAATATTTTTAAAGTGTAGATTATGGTCGTTTATCCCCGTTGCCAAATTTTCAAAATGATCCGCTTTTTAGTTCTCCATAAACGTCTAATACGCCATCCACCGTGGGACACCCTGTATGTTGGATAGTTTAATCGATTAAATTTAAAGCTCTTGTGATATAATATATGATTATTGTAGAAGACCTTGTTTATTCGCGATTAAATTTTTGTTTACCTTTTTTGATAGAATTTTGATAGAAATATTCTGACATTTCATAATAAATAGAACTCTTTATTTGGATAGGATTGACGCAAACAATTCAATCCTAATTATTCAGGAAATAATCTAGCGGTATACCACTCGAACTATAAATTTAAATGGATTAAACTATCCAAATATTTTCTGCATTATTTTGCTTTTTGGCAAATAGTTTCATGCACAATAACTGATTGATCAAACAAAATGC